TTCAGCCTGTGGGACCTTGGCTCAGGCTTCCAGACAGGAGTCTCTGCTTCTAATCCAAAGCGACAGAAAGCCCACTAAGCACAAGCTGGGCCACCCCACCCACTCACAAGACCCCTCAGGGACCAAAGCCCCAGCCTGGCATCCTCCCCACCCTCTAGAACCCACACAAAGACCTAAACAATTGGGAACATGGCCAGATCCTAGGTTTGTGCCAGCGCCAGCCATGAGGTCCCACCCGCTGGGCATGATGCCCACGGGAAGGCCAGCTGGACTCTGCAGCACTGGGGACAGGATCTCAAGGTGGGGTGGGATTCCCTGAGGAGGCCAGAGAAGCTGAGGGTGCAGCTCTTCTTTGTGTAGGGGGGATTTTGCTGCTGAGCACACTGGACCCCACCTCGGCTTGGCCTGAGGTTGTGTGGCCAGGTGGGAGCTTCCCCAGTTATTCTCAGCATTTCCTCTTTTTTTTTTGTCCCATTTCAGTCCTGGTTCCTCTGATAAGATCGACAAAAGAAAAGACAAAATAAAAAAGAAGAGGTTCCTCAAAAGGGGGCAGAAGAAATCTTGAGACATGAAAAAATCCCCCAGCCCAGCCCCACCGAAAAGCAAAAATTCTACGATGTCAGCCACTCAGCCCTTCTCTCCTCCAGCCCCTGTGTGTATGGGAGGGGCGGGCCTGCAGGCCCCCAGAAGCTGCCCAGTTCTTGGAGAGTCCTCGAGGGGTCTCAGGTGGAGCTGTGCACCAGCAGCCAAGCAGAAAGAAACATACAAAACAGACTGTCAAGTAAAAGACCAAACTAAAGAAAGGGATGCAGAATTGCCTTCCTCCCCTACCCCAGCCCAGCCTTCTGGGGAAGGAACAGAAATACCCCACCCCACCCCACAAAGTGACCAGCACAGTTCTGAAGGGGCCTGCTCCCATTTCCCCTCCTAGGGGAACCCCACCCCTCACCTTGAAGACAACAAACAGGAGTTTAGAACCAGAGGGCTCATCTCTCCAGGTGCCCACCTGCTCCTCCCATTGCCCCCACCTGCCTCTTCCCTCTGGGACTAGGAGAATCTGGGTCAGGGCAGCCTCTGCTGCTCCTCTCCCCACCCTTGGGCTGAAAGTCCCAAGGTGGAGAAGGGATGCACCCCACCCTACCCCTAGCTAGGTACAAGAGCCCAGAATGGAGGGCATTGGGCCGCTCCACCCTGAGCCGCAAGGGCAGTTCCTGGGCCTGACCCTCTGTATAGTCCATGGGAAAGGTTTGGAATGCTCTCAAAGGTGTGGCTTCATCCTGCCCCATAGGCCCCCCTCTTCCCTTTCCCAGCAGGCCTGGAGAGGCTACCCTCCCTCCTGCCCTGCAGCGAGCAAGGGGAAGTGGCCCCCAGGTCTCTTCCCTCAGCCCAGCCCAGAATGCAGGTACCCTTACTCTGCCCCACTGGTCCCTGCAAGCAGACAGCCCTGCCTGGGGCTGGTGGAGACTGGAGAAGAAGGGGAACACCCCCAGCAGCTGAGCACCAGGACAAGGCCACAGCCTGCACTAGGTAGGCGTCCTTTGGGGGAATGTTGGGCCTTGCTCTTCTCCAAAGTATTTCGGAGCTTTCTCTTTCCCCCTTCCACCACCACACCACCCCCCTGGGCCACTTCTCCCTAGATTTTAGCTGTAACGTCTTTATTTGGGGGTGGGGCATCATTTGGGTTTTTTGCCTTCGCAATTGGGAACTCCTCCATTTGAGCAACTTGGGAACAATTTGATAACACAACACAGGAAGTAGCTCCCCCCCCCTACAGCCTCCTCCTTCCCAAGGGATGGTTGCAGGGGGGGAGGCCTGTCCAGAGGGTCTTCAGAAGGCCTCAGTGGGGGAGGGGAGCATGAGTACCACAGCCCCCACCCAAGGCGTGACCTGGCCCCTCTGGCTTGTCTTTCTGTGCCTTACTCCCTCCTCCGTTCTTCCTCCTGGGCCTCTGCTCCCCCTCCAGTCTTGTGCCTCGCTCTCTTTCTCTGTCTCTCTCTGTCTCTCTCTAGCTATGAAAACACAAAGCACAGGTCAGGATCCTCCGAAAGTCAAACAACATGGTATCGTGTAGGGCTGTTATGGGCTTAATTTATTGTTAATCTAGTTTGTGAGGCTGTGGCCCCAAGGATGAGAGTAGAGGGGCATCTTTGGGGGAAGCCTGGGTTACCTGAGGCAGAGGGGCAGGGTTGGGGTGGTGCCCCTCCCAGCTGGAAGTCACAAGGTGGCTGCCCCTGGGAGTGGCTTTTATTAAAAATTGAAGGAAGCCCCCTCCACCCCCCATCTGCGTGCAGCCCTGGGGGATGACCAAGGTTGTGATAAGTGGGCAACGGGAGGAGGGCCGGGGGTGGGGGGCCGGGGGGACCAGGTGCCATGCCTGGCCAAGTGCAATGATTTTTCAGTTTGGTTGGCTAAACAGGGTCAGAGCTGAGAGGGGAGCGGAAGGGACCCCGCCCAGCCACTCGAGCCCCTTCCCTCTAAGACAATCGGGCCGAGGGTGAGGGTGCAGCGGGACCTGCAGGAGCCGGGGGTCCTGCGTCCTGGTGCCCCTGTGCCCGGGCGAAGTAGGAAGCTGCAGGCCAGCTGGGCCCGGGGCCAGAGTTAGCCCAGCGAGGGGCTGTGCCGTTGGGCGGGCGGGCGGGGCTACTGCTCCTTTCCCAAGTGTTGGTAGGGGCAAGCAGGGGCAATGAGGGCCACAGGAAATGTGGGGGACATGTTAGAAGAGAGAATAAACACCCCACAAAAATATATATAGGGGGGAAATTAACTTTTTTTTTTTTTTCATTGAACCAAGTGCAATGCATCGGAGAGTTTTCCTATCTTTGTATGTTAAGAGATTGTTAAGGGAAAAAAAAAATTCTATTTTTGTTGTAATGTCCTCGCGGCTCTGGGGACGCTAAAGAACCGGGCCTGCCCCGCCCTGCGCGGGGATAACGAAAGCTGAGTGCTTTTTCTTCCTTTTTTTTCTGTTCGTTTTCAGTTTTATTTTTTTAAGTCGTTTTCCTGCGTTGACGAGGATGGTCTGGGGTTTTTATTTGTGTTGTCATTCGTTCTTGGTTTCGGTGGGAGGGCTGAAGGAAACGTTCACATTTTAGAACTTTAAAAAAAAAAAAAAAAAAAAAAACCAACACAAGATCAAGGAAAAGGACAAGAGAAATATTCTTTTAAAAAGAATCAAAAATAAAAACCCTGGTGCTTTTTACATTATAAAGTACTTACAAAATCCCACAGACTATTATACATAAGTTTATGATTCAATTAAATATCCAGCACTTGTTAGAAACACGCATATCCCTTTGTTGAGTTTTAACGGAACGGGACAGCGGCATGCGCCCGGCTGCTGGGCTGCTCAGGCCGCGGGTCTCCCCGGGCGCCCCCTTCCAGGGGCCCAGCGCCCCGTCCTCGCCTCATCCCGCCCAGTCAAAGGGGCGAGGCGAGGATCCCGGCCCCTCCCCGCAGAGGTCAATGCCAACGAACAAAAGTCCCTCCCACCCCCACCCCGAGTACCCTTCTTTGAGCCAGACGCCAACTTGACCCTCACCAGCATTATCAGGAGCGCGCTCAATAAGTTGGTAGTTGCCTCCCCACCCCACCCCCGGCGCCCTCCTCAACATCATTCCTACCACCCCCACCACCCCGTCCCCTCCTGGGAGCACGGGGAAGGTTCGGATGCTCCAAGACAGGACCCGCCATGCTGACGATGGTTCGGGCCAGGCCGACGCATTCACGCACACGGCCGCACACAGTCCCTCCCCCCCCCCCAGTCCTCACTACCAGCCCGTCGACTGCCTTACACACCCGCCCCCGCGCTGGCCGGCAGACCTTGTGCCTTGTTCTCTCACCCCCGTGCTGGCGGAGCGGACGTCGCGCTCTGGGTCCCAGAGGGGCCGGGTGGCTCAGACGACCCATCACTTCCCCACCCTGACCGTGCTGAACGAACTCCCCCCCACACCCGAGAGAGAAAAAAAAAAGGAGCAATAACGTAATGAGAACTTTCGTCCCCCAATCGAGAGCCCGAGGGGCACCCCTGCCCCGCCTCTGCTCCCCCCAAATCCCTCCACCCTTGGGGCGCCCCCCACCTCCCCTTCAGCCAGCCTGGGCCAGCCCCACTGCGGCCCTCCTCCCCCTCCCCGGGAGATCCGTGCGCCCGACCAGCACCAGCATCGCGGACTGCAAAGGCCGCCCGTCCCGTCAAACAAGTTTCTTCTTAGGCTAAGAAACGCAGTATATACGAGTATCTCTATATATAGTACTAATGGATTTGGTGTGCTTCCCCTTAGCGTCCCCGTCCCTCCGCTCCTCCTCCTTCAGCCTGGTTCCCCCTCTCTGCCCCCACCCCGTCTCTGCACTGAGATACATAAGAAACAAGGGTAGTTTACTGTCTGTTTTGTTTTCTGGGTTTTCAGTGTCCTAGCGGAATGCAAGTAGGCAGCCAGCCCGTCTGTTCCCTCCCGCCCCGCCCCGCCCCGCCCCCGTCACTGCGCTTCTGTTATACCATCTTTGCCTGACTCTCTCCGGCTTCTCCATTGAATGGCTAATGTGTATGTGAAATAAAGAAATAAAGAGGAAAAAAAAAAAAAAGAGCGCCTGAACCTTTGCTTGCGTCGTCGTGCGGGATCGCGGCCGCCGTCGGATAGCCGCTGTGCCTGGGTCCCCAGGAGGGGGAGCCGGTGAGAAGGACAATGGCTCCCTATCCTCTGCTGGTCTCTTCCCCCACTCCGCCCCAGTAGCCCCAGCCCAGAATAAAGAAGCACCACTTTGGGTCCGATGTCCGCTCTGCCTTGTTGGTTCCTAGGCCTTGTCCCGGGAAGGGATAGGCAAGCAAGACCATTTTGCCAGAGGGCGTGAGTGATAAAAGAGTCTGCGGGGGGCTCTTCCAGACCCCCAGGTCATTTCCCCAGGTAGGAGCGCGCTCACCGGGCCCTCTTCGGGGGAGTACACGCCTAGGCCAGTCCCTTTGGGGCAGGCGCAGTGCGTCATAGCTGAGTCCCTGGTGCCACGGATCACCGTACCTCCGGGCCCACGGTCGCCTGCTCCGGCAGCCCCCTCTCGGTCTTGATGGGCCGCATCGCCTCGGCTGGGCAGTCGTCGGGGCCCGTGAGCGGTGTGGGCTGCGAGCGCGCAGCCGACTCGACCCTGCGTCCCGGCCCCCGGCGCACGCCATCTTCAGGGCAACGGTGAGGCGGCCGTCGGCGGGCCCCGGACGGGGTGGGGCCTGAGGCCAGCGCGGCCGCCTGGTCACGCAGCAGCCGCACTAGGAAGCCTATATACTTCATGGCCAGGCGGAGCACCTCATTTTTGCTCAGCTTCCGGTCGGGCGGGTGCGTTGGCAGCAGCTTCCTGAGCTCAGCGAAGGCGCCGTTCACGTTCTGCTGCCGCCAGCGCTCGCGGCTGTTGGTGAACACGCGCCGGGCCACCTTCTGAGGCTGGTGACCTGCGGACAGGCGGGAAGGACTGGCGCTAAGGCCTGGAGGGCGCCCCCTCCTGCTCTCACTTAGGGCAGCCAGCACCCTTGTGGGGACCTAAACTGCCAGTTAGCAATCTCCCACCATCCTCCTTACCATCCCCTATAAGATCTGGGACCATCACAGGTTCTATTCCCCATGCAGATGTCTTCAACCCCTGTGACTTTCACATTTGGGTTGCTCGTCTGCAGAACTATCCCGTGGCTCTCAGTCTGAGTGGGCCCAAGATGTGTCTGGGTGTTTTCGTGGTCTCAGAGGTAGTTTCATTGGTGCTGTGTCTGTGGGTGTCTTGTGTGGCTGTGTGACTTCTGGTTTAACAGAATGGTTGTGGATGTGTGTGGTAGATGTCATTTAACTGTGGTCATGTGACTATCTTCTGTGTGGCTGTCCCCCCATGTGGCTGTGGTTCTGTGGCTCTCCCCCTGTGGCTCCATGGTTGACCCCCTGTGTGGCTGTGGTTCCATAGCTGTCTCTTGTGTGGCTGCATGCCAGAGTGGATCTGTCATTTTGTACCCTCTGTTCACTCTGGGACTGTGTGCTGTGCTGTGACTATTGGTGACTGTGCTGCTTGGCTTCTTGGGGTGGCTACAGTTGTGTGCAATGGGACTGTGGTTTTCAGAGAGTGGAGAGTCCCATGTGAAGCTGGTGTGTGTGCGCTTGAAACATCTCTCCCGGTGGAAGGGTATAGGACACAGATGTGGAACCCATGCAGTGCTAGGCAGCTCCATCAGGACATACACCAGTATTCTATCGTAATTGCCCATGTTTACCTTCAGACAGGTCCAGCTCACAGTGACTTGGTCTCCTTTTCAGCCGGCTGCTGGGGAAGATGCCAAAAGGTCCTACCGGCCCAATGTAGAGGCTGTAAGGGGTCATGGGTCACTAATGCCTTGTGAGCAAAGCCCTCTGGCCCCCAGCCCCCCAGGTCCTAGCCCCCCACTGACCTGTTGAGGAAGGGGTGAGGGTGATAATGCAGGGCCAGGGCGGGTGGGGCAGTTCCCAGGGCAGAAAGTGGCAGCAGAGGGGGCCGAAGGGCAGTCAGCTCCGTGGTGGGCACGCTTGCCCCTGGGGGCCTGGTGTGGCCCAGGCTGATCACCGGCACCCCAGGGGGCAGCCTGGGGGGCGAGGAACCTGGGTGGCCCACCTCTTCCACTTTTGGGGGCCCCGGCGAGGCTGTCTCACAGGGTGAAGTGGGTGCTGGACTGGGGGCACACACCATCTCTGCTTTCTCTGTCATGGTGGGGCCCACCTCTGCCTGGGCCTGGGGTGGGCACATGGACCCCAAGGGGGGGGCGCTTACCTGTGGGAGGGAAGGAAGACAGTGGGAAGAGTGCCCTCTCCTTCCAGCCCTCCATGCATGCTTACTGAATGCTGTGGGGCCTGGAGGGCCTGGGGGGGTGAAGCTCACTGGGGAAAGGCCAGGCACGTGGTGGGGGGAAGGGGGAAGGCACAGAAATGATCCAGTGCAAAGGCAGGAGGCACTGGACCCTGAAGAGCCATCTCTAAAGTTAACTGGGGGCCTCTGTTGTCTAGCCACTGAGCAAATTTCCCTTCTTTCAGGACCTCTCTTAACTTCAACCTTGAGGGACAATGCAGAGATCCCCAGACTGATCTTAGATTCCCCTGACACGCCAAATTCACCCTTCATTACCTTTGTAACCTTCAGCTCTAATGCTGAGACCCCTTACTGATTCATTGACATCATGTGACTATGAAACCACTCTGCCCTCTGACCCTTTCCTGTTGCCTAGGTTGGCCCCATGGCTCTCAGACATGTCTCTGTGCCCTCCATGATTGGTCCTTGACCTGTTACTAGCCCTGGGACCCCACTATTGACACTATGACCCCAAATGCTAACCAGGACCTCCAAACAGTGCAGTCCTGCTGCATGCCCCAACCCTCCCATGGCATCCCCAAGATCAGCACCCACTTTTGTACTCTGCTTCAAAATCTCTGTCCACTCTTAGTCCCACTACCCTGAAAGGTCTGGCTTTTCATCAAAGGACTGAGTCCTTCTAGCCGGTCTTCATTGTCTTCCCAGGCCAGGGTGGGTCCCAGCTAGGCTGAGGAAGTTGGCCTCGCCTCTCACTTACTTCATGAGCCCACCCCATGAATGAATGAAGGAAGGAATGCAGGCAGATCCCAGACCCTTCAGGTCAGCCACTCTTACCCCAGCACTCGTCCCGTCCTGCTCCCTGGTGAGTGTCCAGGCTTGGTTCCCTTGGGGTCAGGATGCGGTTCCGCTTCAGGCGTGGCCTCGGTGCACACAGCAGCTGACAGTCTGCTGCCCTGTCCGGACTATGCTGTTGGGCCGGGTCTCCTCGAGGGTCCCGAGGGTCGGGCCACCGCGATGGCGGTGGCGATGTAAGCCCCCCGAGAGAAAGTGAGCGCTCCGGTCAGCCCGCCCTCTCCCCCCGGACCGGCTTCCTCCCCTGTCCCGAGCAGCGGTCAGAGGATGCTGGACCGGCGCAGATAAGGGCCTGGCCGCCTGGCCGCGCCTGATAAGGAGCCGCGCTGACCCCGGAGGAAACCGGCGGGCGGGGATCTCAGAGCGCGGGCCTCCGGGCCCCGCCCCTGGCCGGCGTAGGCAGGACTCGACCTGTCACCCCAGGGACCCCCCCAGGCGCTGGAGCACACGCTGCCAGAGGTGGCGGGACAGAGGAGCCGCCCAAAGCCAAGTAGAGGGGAAACTGAGGCAGGGAACCTGCGACTTCCTGCTTTGCTTTAAACGCCCCCTACCCGAACGTCGGGTCCTGTTGGGGGTGGAGAAGGGCCCTTTCCGGCCCCATGGGGCCGCGTGATCAGGGGTCCCCTCCCCCTCCACCAGGTTCCTCTTTTTATGGAGCCCCTCCCGGCCTTTTTGCCACTCCACCCGGAGTGGGGCCCCACAAGGAAGGGACCAATTCTCAGTCTAGCTTCAGGTGTGCGGTGCAGGCAGGTGTCCTGAAGCCCAGCACAATCTTAGCCACACCCTTCTAGACCCAGGGAGGTGAGAGGATGTTAGGTTGTGACAGAACCTGGGAGCAGACACTCCAATTCTGGGCCTCTTGGCCGCAAGACCACATAACCCAAACTATGTGGTCCCTAGCGCTCATCCCATACCAGGACACCCCTATATGGAAACTGATTAGGGCATAAAGCGGTGTTGGGCAGGTGTCCTGGAGTGGCGGTGGCTCAGACCCCTCTGGAACTTTAAAAGGTGAAGGCCCCAGCTTATAACTAGGTTGTTGTTATGTGCCGTGGAGTTGGAACTGACTCATAGCGACCCTGTACAGGGTTTCCGAGGCTGTAAATCTTCACGGGAGCAGAAAGCCTCCTCTAGTAGTGACCTTTATCCCCAGCACCTCCCTAAGTCAGCCATGCTTACTGGGGGGTTCTGGATGACCTCGGAGCCCCAGAGTGAAGCCTGGTTGTCGATCACTACCAAGACCACTCTCCTTCCAAGGATGCATTAAGGCCAAGGCTGTAAAATCAACCGTTGCAGTTTCCACCGAGAAACAACAGCTAATGTTCTAAGAACATAGTTAACCCTTAGGATTCTCCAAGCACCATTTACAGAAAGGGATGGGGCGCACGGTTCCCAAACTGGCACATGGCGGAGTGGGGATTCTGTCCCAGGGTTGTCTATTAACGTTAAACTCCTCTGTTCCAATGGGCAGCAACCCTGCCTGGGCCTCAGTGCACACCCCCTCGGGCCACCAGGCAGGAAGCACCTGGTCTGGAACGGATGCACAGAGCGCCCGGTTCCGGTCCAGCTTCCTCTACTGCGGCCCCGAGGGAACTGGGCCAAAGAAACCAGGCGGCGAGGTAGTGGCTGCGGCGCCAAACCACGTGGGGGTTCCGTGGTGAGAGCGGCCACCCTCGCGCATGTCAGAGACCAGGAGCGCGCGACTGACCGGGTGGGTGTTGGGGTAGCCCAATAGCACCAAGGATGCCCGCACGCGACTGCCGCCCTGTGGCCACGTCAGGAACTGCAGGCATCAACTTCCAGGGTGAGAAAAGCGTTGGGTACTAGAGGCACAACGCCTCACATATTTAAAAAAACAAAAATACACCGGACAGAAAAACTGTCAATACCCCTGCCAGGTACAGGCATCCTCCTGGGGAGGCAGGCCAAGGTACTTCCCCAGGAAGTTAAAACAGAAAGACAGATGAACAGACCCAGGACATTTATTGTTGTTAAGTGCCATGGAGTCAGTCCCAGTTGGTGGTGTGTTGTGGAGTCGGTTCCCACTCATAGCGACCCTGCATAGGGTTTCCGAAGAAGCTGTAAATCTGTATGGGATCAGAAAGCCTCATCTTTCTCCTGCGGAACAGCTGGGAGTTTCAAACTGCTGAGAGACCCTATATAGGTTTCCCAGGCTTTAAATCTTGGAAGGAGCAGAAAGCTTCATCTTTTTCCTGCAGACTGGCTGGCGGGCTCGAACTGGTGAATTTGTGGTTCACAGGCCAGTGCTTATCCTATGAACATAGGAGGGGGCTTCAAAAAGTTGGTGGAAGTTTGTCATTATTTTTTAACTCCATTTTTTCATGAACTTTTTGAAGTTCCTGGTATGGCACTGTAGTATCAGTACTGGACTTGAAACCCACCAACTGCTCCCTGGGAACCCTATACAGGGTCGTTGTGAGTCAAAATGGACTCATTGGCGCTTAACAGTACACCTGGACAGATGAACAGAGCCCCTCAGGTACAGGGGCAGACCAACCCAGGCAGCCTCCCCCTGAGACGATGACAGTCAGGGGAAGGTGACATCTCTTTATTAGTTCAGTCTATGCCTGGTCCAGCGGCAGCTCCCAAGTCTCTGGTCTCTGGACAGTCTGTGGGGGCAGCATTGGTAGCGGGTGCTGATGTCAGGCTGTGAGAATAGCAGCACTTGTCCCCATGGTGACAGGTGCCCTGGTGGGAAGGGGATGGGAATGAGCCCTGGCCGAGGGTTGGGCAGGCTCCCTGGGTTCCATTCCTAGATGGGAAGCTCACCAGTACTGGCCTACTGCTCCCAGCACATCTTCCCCTTGGCCCCGCCCCATTGCCACCCTGGGCCTGTGGCTGCCTGGGAAACTGGGGATCCAGCATTGGCAGCAGCTGAGGAGGCTCACCTCCTTGAACCTCTTGCAGGGAAACATCTTGAGCCGGGCAGCCCGCTGGGTCGAGTCCTCAGCTGGTTCCTTCCGCTTATTCTGAAGCAACCTGCATTTCTCCCCCACAGCACTGCCTTCCTCCCTGCGCCTGCGCAGGGACACAGGTGCTAGAACCTGGCTAGCCTTTGCCATCACTGGCAGTTCCCATTCCAATTCCACTTACCCTGGCCGAGCACGGGGCCTGGGACCCCAGTTGGCCTCAGGGTTGGCCTGGAAGCGCTTGAGTCCTCGCTGACGGGAGCTGGGATTGGCATCTTCTCGGATGGTGAAGTTGGCCTGCAGTCTGGGGGAAGGGGGACAGAGGGACCATCGAATGTGTAGGTTCAGCCCCTGGGGCCAATGGGCCTTGTGAAGACTGTCTCTGCCTGTGAGTCCAAATTCTTTATGGAGTGCCTACTGTATGCCTATACTGTTCTTGGTGCTGGGAACAGTGCACAAAAGTGATAAACCCCCTTGTTCCTTGTGAAGCTGACATTCTTGTGCGGGACACAAACAGGTAACAGGATGAATCAGAAAGAAGCAAATACTATTACGTGTTGGTGTGATGCTATAGGATAAGCACTGGACTGCTAACTGCAAGGTCAATGGTTCAAACCTACCAATGTTCCTTGGAAACGCTACACAGAGTCACTATGAATCGGAACCAACTCAACAGCATTTAACAACATTATGTGCTAGGGAGTGAGGCATTTTGGGGGGAAATGGGAGTAAGGTAAGGGGGATGGGGAGACAGGGGAGGAGTGCAACGTTGGGTAAGGGTGCAGAGAAGGCCTCAATGAGAAGACATATACAGAGAGACCTGGAAGAGGTGAGAGTGGACTCAAGGGATCCAGGAAGGACAATTCTCCAAGCAGAGGGCACAGCTTATGCAAAGGCCCTGAGGTGTGTTTAAGGAAGCTCATTTGGCTGGAGCTTAGTGAGCAAAGGAGAGAATGGGAGTTGATGAGGGAAGGGAGGGTTTGGGGCACATTGTGCAGGATCTGGGAGCCACAGGGAAGACTAGGGCTTTTGCCCCAAGTGAGGTGAGAGCCAGGAATCTTGGATGCTACAGTACTCCGGAGCCTCCAGCCACTCCATGGGGAAAACTGTAGCCGTTTCTGCAAAGATTTGCAGGCTTGTAACTCTATGGGGGCAATTCTACTCTGTCCTATAGGAATGCCAGGCTTCAGAACTAACAGGTTTTTTTACTTTTAGGTGGGAGCCATTGAGGGTTCTGAGCAGAGGGATGTGTCCTGACTCAGGTGTTCACAGGCGCCATCTGGTGGCTATGGGGGGCAAGAGCAGGAGTCAAGAATCAGGAAGGAGTGGAGGCAGAGGAGAGGGGAGGAAGGAGGGTTCTGCAGCCTTTTCATGTGGGGAAGCACACAGTGTGTCTCCATGTCCTCACCCAAACGTGGCCCATACCTGGGCTCCAGACTGAGAATGCGGAATGCTGGGCTGGTCTCTGACAGCCGCTCCCGTTTTACTGGACACTCCTTTTCCTGGGTAGCAGAGGTCAGGGATCAGGGGACTCTGACCAGGAGGGGCCTCAGACACCCATCCATTGTTCCTTTCCCTCCAATCAGGCGGCCCTCACCCAGCAACGCATGATATCCCAGAGAGCCGAGGTGGAGGCGTCAGTCTTCACAGCGTTCTTACAGGCGTGGGAGAGGGAGACCCTGAAGCCAGCATGGAGGAGGGCCGACCTGGGGAGGGAAGGGCGTGAGAGAGGTTGGGCCCCAAACCTGGGCTGCCTATGTAGCTGCAAGGTTCCTGGTGACTACATGGACCGCACACTTCCACAGGCTAGTGAGATTTAGCTTCTCTTGGTGGGGCCCCTGAGGCCGGAGAAGACTCACGATGCCCCAGGGCACCCGGCAGGGCCTCACCGCAGCTGGAGGAGGCTGGGTGTGTTGCAGTGGATGGTACTACTCAGTTGGTCCAACGTGTAGTAGAGGGGCACATCCGGGAGCTCCTGCAGGGGGACAGGTGGGTTGTAGGGTGGGCATGCAGGGGACAGGCATGGGTGGAATCCTCCCATCTCAGCCCAGCCCCACCTCGCTGACGACACTTAGGACCCCACGGATCCGCTCAGAGGTATGGAAGCGGCCAGGGTTGGTGCTCACAGCCTCCAGGACATGGCCTATGAAGTCCAGATCATGGATGGGCTCTGCCCATATAGGGCCACCGAGCTGTGGACACACAGAGGTCAGATGGGCAGAGCCATATCCATGAGTCCCTGTGCCCCCCTCCGGCTCCCTGGGCCCAGGCCCACCTGGTGTCTCTGTCCACAGTGCTCACACTCAGGAGCCACAGGGGGACCACAGGCTGCAGAGAACTTGACTCTGTAAAGGTAGCAACAGTTAGGCTCTGGGAACCCAGGAAGGCCCCTCCGACTCCCATGCCCGCCGACCTTGCTCACCGGCTCCCGGATGCTCCTGATGCTCTGCCAAGGCGCTGGAGGTGGAAGGCCCCACAGCCCACACACTGGAACACCAGTGCCTGCTTGCTGCAGGGGAGGCCCAGCACATCACTACAGTCCCAACTCCTCCCATAGGCTGGCTCAGTCCCAACTTTCCAAGGCAGGGCCATGTCCCCCAGTTCCCCCCAGGGCAGGACTGAGTTTCCCCGTCTCTCCAGGGCAGGGTCCTATTTCTTCCCTCAGTTCATCCTACCCCAACCCTGTCCCAGGCTGACCTAGCTGAAGCCTTGACCTTAGCCTGCCCTGTGAAGACCCGGACAAAGACTCGCACGTAGAAGTCCACACTAATGCTGAGCAGTGGCACGATGAAGCGCTGATAGCAGTTGGCCCGGAGGTCAAGGCTGTGCAGGACAATCCTCAGAGCCTAGTGGCCAAGGGAAGGTACGTTAGCACCTGCTCCTTCCCCTCCTGGAGAGGCAGCACAGGGTGCAAGCTGGGGTCAGCTCCTGGGTTTTAGCCCAGTCTCGTCACGTCCTGGCTGTGTGACCCTCAGTAAGTGAGTTCCACCTCTCTGCACCTCAGTGACCTTAGCCCCTGTCTCTCAGAGCCCTGTTGGGACACCACATGAGCGAAGGAACACACAGGCCTGGAAACAGAAGATCCTGGTGGGTGTCAGCATCAGGGCACTGTGGGGTGGGCAGTGAATAAGAACCTGAGTCCCGGCCACCACGAGCTTGGTGGGCAGGATGTGTGGGGACCCTGGGTGCTGCAGGTAGACCAGGGCTTTCTCGCTAGGAGCTGCTGTATGACTCCCCCAAGGAGAAGGCGTTCCCTAGAGTGGCGTGACCACAAGGCCCATTTACACAGCCAGTCCCTGCCTTCTTGAATCCCCACAGCAATCTCATGAGGTCGGTGCCACGATCACACTCATTCTACAGATGTGAAAACTAAGACCCAGCAAGAAGTTGTCTGTTGCTTAAAGATTCCAAGAAAGCTAGGCTTCAAACCCAGATCTGAACCCAGGTTGGAAAAACTGCCTTACAAGAGACAATGTGCAAAAGTTTTTAAAATTCACGATGCTAGAAAGAATAATATAACCACCCACTCAGAGCCTGGGCAAAGCCAGGGTCCCACCGTGACTGAGACTGTGCTCTGAGCAACTCTGTCAGTTAGAGAGGTGTCTGTCACTCATAAGCACGCATGGATCCGGCCCTGGCTGCTTGAAGTCGGGAGGGGTGCGGTGCTCACCATCTCGTGGCAAGCACGACTCTTGAGGGCCATGGACCCGTACTTGCTGTAGCAGGTCTCCCCACTGTTTCCAGCCAGCACCGCCATGTCTGTGCAGGTCACACACAACAGCCCTACAAAGAAGGGCAGGCAGTGAAGATCCCCCCAAACACCCCCAGCCCTGCTCCTTGTGCCTCAGTCCTGGTCTCACCTCCTTCGCTGACAGCCTGGACCGCTGCATCCAGGAAGGGAGCAGGGCTACCATACGGGTCCAGGTCGATGACATCAAAGCGTTCTGGTACCCTCTGGTGCTGGTACATCAGTATCCTGGATTTGAGAGGGCCAGGCCTTCAGTGCAGGGCCCCAGGATCCTCCCTTGTGCATGTCAACTCAGATAACTCTGGTGTGGACCAGTGCCGGGGTTCAAGTCCTGGCTTGCACATTTACTAACTACAGGATTTCTCAGTCTCCCCCTCTAAAACAACAATAAAGCTAACATTGATACAGCACAGGCACAAAGCTAGCAAAGCTAACATTTTGGAGCCAGGCTGCCTAGAGTCACATCTTGCCTCTGTCACATTCTCGCTGTGTGACCTTGGGCAAGTGACTTAGTCTCTCTGAACATCAGTTGTATAATATGCAGAACTAGGGTAATAGAAAAGATTCTTCTATAGTCCCAACTTTGTGCCAGAAATGAGTATTACTATCATCTCTATTTTGGACTCCATTTGGGCACACCTGTACTGTTTTAAGCAGTTTATACATGTATTAACTCACTTCATCACTCAATTCTCCCAACAAATCCACGGATTAGGAACTATAGTGGTTTCCTTCTCAATGGAGCCTACCCTGGCCTTGCTGTTTAAAATAGGAAACTCCTTCCCAACCTTCCTCCGTTCCCTTCTATTTTTTCCATAGCACTTTTCACATCTGGTTTACTATATAGTTTATTTGTCATATCGGTTGTGTTCTCATCTGTGTTTCCAATTACATTCTATTGAGGCCCGGCTGCTTGCTCTGCAAAGGATCAGATCTTAAATACTTCAGGGTTTGTTGGCCATATGCAGTCTCTACTACCTCATAGTCTTTTCTTTCTAGCCCTTTCAAAATGTAAAATGCATTCTTGGCTTGCAGGCCATACAAAACAAGATTGTAGGTCTACAAGCTGCAGTTTGCCAACCCTTCCCTGTGTTAAGAATGCAAGACTCTACCAGGTCGGGAATGTGGCTTTGTTTACTGATATATTCTGGCACTGAGCATCATGCCTGCCACATACTGGAAACTTTATACACACCAGTCTAATTTAAGAAAAAAAGTACAAGCAGCGAAGTCTAAAATGGAGATGATAATAATACTCATTTCTGGCACAAAGTTGGGACTATAGAAGAATCTTTTCTATTACCCTCGTTCTGCATATTATACAACTGATGTTCAGAGAGACTAAGTCACTTGCCCAAGGTCACACAGCAAGAATGTGACAGAGGCAAGATGTGACTCTAAACAGCCTGGCTCCAAAGTCTACCTTCTGAATACTAGGCTCAGCTGCCCCACACCTACCGGGCATCCGCTTGGCTGGGCTGTACCAGGTGGGCCACTTCGTTGAGCTGCACATTGCGGCGTATGAGGTCCACAGCCCGGGCGGAGGCATCGTTTGCAACTACAGATCGAAGTCCAGGAACCTCTTGGGCGAAACGTATGGAACGCAGGCCAGAGGCTGCCAGGCCCTCCAGCACCCACAGACCCTCCTGTTGGGATAAGCAGTGAATCCCTCTCACATCTACACATCTATCCTTTGCTGAGCCCCAAGGAGCACACTACCATCCACTTCCTTTAGCTCTTCCACTTCACAATCCCGCTTTCCTCCACCACCGGGACTCTGGGGCTCCCATCTCCTATGCTGAGGCCATACCTCACAGATCTCTCTCACGACTGCTGTCCGGGGCTGGCCTCCTGAGGCCAGGTTTTCGCTCTCTTTTGATTCAGTCTTGTCCTCCTCTTGTTCTGACAAGTCCACAACCACCTTTTGCACATCTTTCTCTCCTGGCACCTTGACTGCAGCCAGCCAGAGGCATGAATCAGGTAATTATCAAAGTCCCCTTTGAGAAACCTCCCCTTTGTCTTCAGAAGGTAGGAAACTCATGGAGAAAAACAAAACAAAACAAAAAAACCTTCTCCAAACTCCCTGGGGAAAGGCTCAAGTGCAGAGCCCAGGGCCTGCTCTTTGGCCTCAGCCTTCTGGGATTGGGAGATGGGGGGGGGGGGGGGGCAGGGAGAGGTTTACATGACTACCACCCATCAGGAATTTGGACCTCTACTCACTCTGGATTCCTTTGGTCTGAAGCTGAATGCGTGCAAACTCGGTGATTACAGCACATCTAACAGGAGACACAGGATCGGTTCACATCCCTTCCACCTCACTGACCCACTGCCTCTTGCCCACGGCCAGGCTGACCCCTGACCCTTGCTTGCTTACGTTAGATCCCGGTTAAACTCCTGCACAGGATTGTAGAAGACTTCATTAGCACTGGGGAAGGCGATCTTGGCAGCCCCTTCGGTGACTGTCGTCTCCTGGACCTCAGGTGGGCGCTCTTCTTCGCAGATCCTGGTGCCGTTCTCCATCGTGGCGGGATTCGACGACTGTTGGGGTTGTCCCTCCATATACCCGGCTCTACAGAGACTGCAAGAAGAGCGATGAGTGAGGCTTAGCCACAAACGGATCGTCGAGCGGGCGCCTCTGTCCGTCAATCCTGACTAGGGGGCAGGGTAGAAGAGTGATCATCGACCGAGAATCAGAGAAGCTTATGTTCTGGGGCTAGGGGTGGCCTACACATCTGCAAGTGGAAGGCTAGACCTTACGGCCTCGGGACACTGACATCTCACTCTTTCGGGTACCAGCCGGAAGGCCTTGGAGAGGATCAGACTCCGGTCCGGATACTTCCCGCACCACCCAAGCCCTCTTCACCTTTTCTTGGGAAACCGAAAAGTTCATTGGTTTCGGTGCACGTTTCCTGGATTAGGACCTGGGCGCTGCCATGTTGACACAGTAGGAGGGCGAATCATGTGAGCACATTCAGCCAATCATGATGCTACTTACGGTAAGTTGCTGGGATCAAAACGCACAGTGGGAATAAAGCGCGCTGAATGTGTTGTGCAAGTGGATTTAATCACAACGGATCCTCTGGGAGGGAAACATGTCACCAACCCCATTTCACAGATGAAGAAGTTGAGGCTCAAAAAAGGGGCGGTAAGCGAAAAAGTACATTTATTGTCTATTCTTTGTCAGATGTTGTAAACCCGTTTCAGAGCACCTTCCAGTGTATCAGTGTATCACTCTCTGAAATCAAACTTACTGGATTTGAACCCAGTCCTACCACATGCTCTGAGCAAGTTATTAAATTCCCTGGGCCTTACTTTCCTTATCTTTACAACAGGAATCCTAACTTCAAAATCCTAGCGACAAAATGCTTGGAAACTGTGCAAGGTAGCTCCTTTTCAATGGTAAAAGCTTAGGAAATACCAATTGGTGTATAAATAGAGAAAACTAGTGTCCGGCCGCCTGCGTTCCAGTCCAAGTTCTGCTGGTGGCTACCTGTTTTTAACCCTCTCTGTGTTTGTTTCCCCGTTTGCAAATGGGCAGAACTTTTTACGTTCGTCTCTGAGTTGCGGTGAGAAATAATCGGCTTTCAAACACAAAAAACTATTCCAACTCATAAAGATCCTCTAAGACCGAGAACTGCGTCACTGGATTGGTTTCCGAAACTATAAATCTTTATGGAAATAGTCAGCCTCATCTTTATCCTGCAGAGCATCTGGTGGGTTTGAACTGCTGATCTTTCGGTTAGCAGCTCATCACTTAACCCATTGCGCCAAATGTGCGGAGTGGAACCTGGTAACGCCTGAGGTTAGCTTTTATTGTCTCTTCTTGATCCTAGGTTTGAAGCCATGTATCCACCTCCACTTTCTTGCTATTTGAGCTTAAGCAGATTACATCATCTCTCTTCTTTTCTAGAAAATTGGGTGTGTGTGATAATTCTTATTTAAAAATGCTTCTGTGAAGTTTAAGCCAGGTGTTGTAATTGTTGTGAGGTGCTGTTGTGTCAGTTCCAACTCATAGTGACCCCATACAGCAGAAGGAAACTACCCGGCCCTGCGCCATCCTCATAGTTCTTCCTATGGTTGAGCAAGGTAGTTCTAGTAGCCTAAAACAGTGCCTCAATAAACAGTAGCCATCGTTGTTTTCGTTTTACAGGAAACTGAGATTCGGAAAGGCAAAGCAACTTGCCCAAGGTTGCAGGGCTAGAAAGTGGCGGGGCCGGGATTCAAATTCGTGAGCAGAGTTGAGGTATTGGCGGGGAGTCTCGAGGGACGGAGGAGCCGGAGCCGGTAGGATGGTGTGCGCTCTGCGCTCGGCTGGCCCTGCCTGGGGGGCGGGACCTGTGGGCGGTGCGCGGGCGGGGTCACGGCCGCTCCTCCTCGGCCGGGCTGCGGCAGCGGCGGCGCGGCTTGCGCTCGCTCGGCGCTCGGCTGGGGCGGCCTGGCCCACAATGAATGGCCGCCGCGGCTGCCGCTGCTGCTAAGGCGGAGGCCGCGGAGGCGGAGGCCGAGGCCCCGGCGCAGGGGTGCGCGCCCCGGGCCCAGGCCCGGCCCCAGCCGCCGCTGCGGAGTCCGCCGGGAGCCCCCGGAGCGCGGCCACGGCGCAGGTGAGGGGGTTCACCTCAAGTCCCGGCCCGGCCTCCTCCCGCCTGGGCGGCCGGAGGGCGTCCGAAGGCTGAGGGCAGAGGGCTGAGGGAGTGCTGGAGGGCCTCCTGAGGAGGAGGAGCCGGGCCTGCAGCCTTCCCCGTGCTCGGGCCAGCAAGTGCGAAGAGGCCTGGCCACCGCGGACGGCCTCGAGCGCCCAGCCCGACCCGGGCCGCAGGGCCTGGGGGCGGCGGGATCTGAACGGACTCTCCCCACACCACTCCGGGACAGGCGGGTGGGCGAAATCGGGTCGGGCAGGTGCCGGGAGGACTTCGGAGGGATGTAGAGAAGAAATAAAGGGGCGCCTAGGCGCGGGTTGCGGGGAGACGGAGTCAGACCCTGGGCCGACCGGGTGGGGGGAGAGGAACGCGCGGCGCGGCCGGAGGGAAATGGCCCGGGCGGGGGCGGGGCGGGGCCGGGCCGGCAGGTAGGATCGGGGCACTGAGGAGGTGGGTGGGTCAAGTTACAGTCTGGGGGCGGCTAAAGAGAAGCCCAGGAAGTGGGGCCGGGTGGGTGGGGGGCGGAGTTAGTTCGGGTGGAAGCGGCGGAGGATGGGAGAGCCCAGAGATGTTTGCTGGGGTCACCTGAGGTCAGGCCTCAGGTGGGGGGAGAGCAGATAGGGTGAGGGACTATGGGAAGCCGGGAGTGGAGGAGAGCTGAGACTTGGACCAGGCTGGTGGATGTCCGGTGGGGCTGGTCAGGAGAGAGTGTGATCACAAGGCACGTGCCAAGGTGTGGTCACTGCCCGGTGTCAGCTCAAACCCAAACCTGGGAGGGCGCCTCTTTCTCACACCCCATTCCTGAGGCCGCTGGGGTCCCCTCCTACCCCTTGGACCGACCTTGTTCCCAGGCACCTGCCAATCACATGGGTGTTTGTGTGGGTAGCTTGGGGGAAGAGTCTGGAACACCTAGTTCTGGCATCTTGTTTACCTCGGGGTGACCATTGCCCACCCCACCCCATATATCTTCAGGGAGGCAGCCTAACAGGTATCCCTTGGGTATTTTAGGGACCTGGATTCTTTGCTCCACTTTTTGTGATTAGGTTCTTGAGGCTCAAGTGTAGAGGATGGGACTGAGGACCCTCTTCAGGGCCATCATGTTACACAGTGACTTCCCAGCTCCCTGAGTCTGAGTTCTGTGTGGTCCTTCCCCAGAGGAAAAGATTGGGGGAGCTGAATAAATGTAACTCTTTGTTAGTTGAATCTTGGAAACTTCCGATGAAGTGAAGGCGAATTTGAGAGAAAGGGATCAAATCAGGTCCCCACATCCCAGCTCAGCCTCTTAAAGATACCCAATTCCAGGTATCTTAGGCTCGGCCCAGTGCTGAACTTGCTGGTCTGTGAGGTGAGCTCACTGATGGCTTACCACTGACTGAGCTCAGGTTTTTTCCATGGGGCAGACGAGTAAGTAGAGGCTCAGGACTCAGGAGGTGGTGTGCCATAACTTGCCTCAAGTCCCACAACTAGACGGGGTGCAAAGCTGAGATGATCCTCAGCCTAAACCCATGTTCCCCCCTCCACCTTACTCCAAAGCTCCCCACCATCTTTGAGTTGGCCTTCCAGGAGCATCTCTTGTTCTGCATGCTCAGGTATGGATTCTCTCAGCTCCCTCTTTGAAGATCTTCCCGCCCATCCTGAGGGATGAGACCAATGCCCTCGTGGGCAGACTGAGTGTTCCTGTCTTCTCTGGGGAACATAGAGGTCAGGGTCCGGGGTTGCTGAGCTGGGGGAAGCCGTTACAAGAGTGAGGCTTGGCTCCAGGAGTGTGCTTGCCTGCTCAGGCTGTCTTCCCTCCCCAGCTTTAGCTCTATTCTCTCTGGGCTAATTGCAAGACTGTTCCCATGGTATCCTTGGGAAGTTGATCTGGGATCCCGAACACCCTGAGGCAGGAGACACAAACTGCTGGATCCAGTGGTATCAGCCAGATCTTCTGGGTTTAACGATGGGTTGTCACCTAAATTGCCCCCAGTTTTCTATAGTTCCCAAGACGCCCACCTGGTCCTGCCTACCTGCCCTCTCTGGCTGTATGACAAGGATAAGGGTAGATGCTCCACCAGCAACCCCAGCTTAAGAGCCCTTCCTCCTTGCTTGCTTGGGACTGGGTAGACTAGGACCACATCTGGGACTGTCTAGTAACACATCTGAAATACAGCATCAGCAGGAGCCACTGGGGCATGAGACTGGTGGGAGTTGGCCTTGAACTCTAGGGCAGATGGAGAGAAGCAGTCAGTGTAGGCAGGGCCCTGGGCCAGCAAACACAGGTGGGCCCAAACCTGTGTCTGGAGCTGAAGGAGTGAGAATGTAGGGGGACCAGATACTGCTGTATGTGGGGCGCCATGCAAGGTGAACAGGAATGACAAATGGATGGTTGGAACTATTTTCTTTCATGACTGGGTGTCAGCTCCCTGCTAGGGAGCTACTCTCAAGTGACTTCTGTTCTGTGAAGGTGATCAGCATCTGACACTCAAGATAGTTTCTGATGTCCCTGTTTGTGAAAGAATTAGAGTAGAGGGAACTCACAGTGCTTGTCCTCGGGTGGGGGGCGGGGGGAATAGGTGGAGAGGTTTAGGTTGGGTGGTCTGACTGGGGAAGAGCTGAAATCTGAATAATAATAAGAAATCCACCCTGGGGATGAAAAGGGGAGTAAGTTTTAGAGAGAGGAGACAGCAAGCACAAAACCTCTATTGAGCCTGTGGCAGGTTCCAGTCACTGGTCTAGACATCACGAAGGGATGACCCCATTGTGGAAAAGACAGAGACCCTAGTGCCATTAGTGGAAAGAAGGACCCTCTTTGGCTCAGGGTTTCCTGGGTCTCCCCATCACCTCCAGAGTACAGTTCAAACTCCCAGGCAGTGGGGACCCCTGAAGGTTCCTGAACGGCTGTGAGATGGGAGTTCAGTCTTGCAGGACCCAGTGGAAAGATGGCCTCGGGCTTAGAAAGGAGGGAACTTTGCTTCCAGAGCTCCTGATAGAGAAAGGAGGGAACCTGCCACACTCAGATGGGGCATGCTTCCTATGAGGGGATGGTGAGCTACCCAGGCCAAAATCACCAAGGCTGTCCTCACAGCTGTTCCTCCTCCCAGGGCCTCTCTGCCCCTCATCTTCTCCATTCCCTTTCCTGGGTGCCAGGCTACTCTGAGCACCTTTACATATTTAAACACATTTAAGCCCATAGCCACCCAAATAGCTAGGTCCTGCTTGTTTGCACTGTTTGATGCATAAGGTACTTCATTACTTATTCTCACCGGCCCTGCCATCCTGCACTCGGACAGCCTTCCCACCGTCCTGCGCTTCCAAGTGGTGGAGGCACAGAGTGAGTTGGTGCAGGTGACAGGCATTGCGTGTGCTCCAGATGTGGTTGTGATTGGTGTCGCACTAACACTCAATGGACTTCGTGTGCTGCCTCCCCCATGGAAATCTCACAGACCTAAGAGGCCTCGCCCAGGTCTTCTGTGAGTGTAGGACTTAGACTGGGTCAGGTTTTCTGAATTAAACAGGGTAACTAAGGGTGAACAAACAGGCTGCAATGGAGAGGGGTGAATTGTAGAGTCAGCTGCCACCCTGCAATGCCACGAGTCCCTTCTTGCCCATCTGATGAATGGGGATAGCTACTCTGTAGCTGCCTTCACCCAGGGGCATTTCTACCCCCTTAGGACATTGGGCAATGCCTGAGACATTTGATTGTCACAACTTGGGGGAGGGAGGATGCTATTAGCATCTGGTGGGTCATAACCAGGGGTGCTGCTCACCATCCTACCGTGTCCACGGTCTCCCCTACCTGAGAGAATGATCCAACTCCTGTGTCCAAAGTGTGACAGTCCGGAGCCTCCTGTGTGATTGTCATAATTAGTTGAAAGGTTCGGGAGCGCCCCGCCACCATGTGGCATCCTGAGGATGAACTGAGCAGTTCAGCAGAACCCCTAGGTGTTGTGAGGATGAACTAAGAGGGTAGTCTACAAGGTGGGACTGCTAGTGAGTCCTGCCCCTAGTGTCCTGGAGCATTGGGAGTGGCTGGGAGCCTGAAGGTCTCTCCTTGGGAACGCAGTGCCTGGTAGGAGTTACCAGAAGAGGACAACTAGTGCTAAGGCTACACCCTCACTGACAGTGAGGTTGAAAGCTCTCCACAGCCTCAGGAGCTGGCTGCTGTCAATAAGGCCCATCCTACAACTCGGGAGACTGATGTCAAGGGGGTGCCACATGAGCTGCTAGAGAGGAACTGTTTTATGAGTGTGCGGAAGGTGAGCAGAGTTCTGAGGAGAAAGCTTTGTGAAGGATTTGAGCTTGTAAACCAGGTTTTCTAATTCCTTATCCTGGCTACCCCTTTTCAACAGTTCCAAGTTACCCACCATCCCAGTAACGGCACCTAGTAACTGACCTTCCTCCAGCCCTAGCCCCGCCAACTTCCTGTGTGTTTCCGCTACCTCAGGACCTTTGCTTTTGCTGCCGCCACAACCCATTCCCACCCTTTGTATAGCTGCTATCTCCCTGCTTGGAGGGACCCCTGGAGTGTAGTGGTATGTAACTAGTGGCCTCCGTGCTGCTGGGGGGAGAGATGTGGCAGGCAGCGAAGGCCAGATTGGCGGGACTGAGAGGAACGTGTGGGAGGCTGGGAGGTGGCGGCAGCAGGTGTAGACTGCTCTTTCCTGGAGTTGGCAGTGGGAGGAGGAACAGCTAGAGAAGAACTAGGAGGGGGTGCTGGAAAGAGAAGGCCTTCTGTGGGGGCAGAGGGTATGGAGTAGGGGCAGGCTGGTAGCACACCCCATTCTTGAAGAGGACATGACAGGCATTGGCTAGTCCTGGGTGCTTGAGCCCCGGTTTTCCCATCTGAAATTAGGCTGCTCACAATTTGGGCCAGCCTCACACTGCTGCTATGAGGAGCCAGGAGACGATGACGGGGCCATGCTGGGCACAGGAGCTTTGTGGCCCGGTCTTGGCATTCTTCATAAAATGGCAGTGAGGCTGGT